ACTTGGCGGCGGTGGCAGTTGAATTCAAGCAGACGTATTCAATACAAGTGGAGGTGGTGAATATCTGGTGGGTCATTCGGTGTTTGTGAGTTGGAAGCACTCACCATAAGAGAGACAAAAACGAAGAAGACGAATCAAAACGACGAGAGCAGTTGGCAGTTTTAACATAGTGTTAAGCAAACATTAACATTTTAACATAATTTTTCAAATGCAGTTCACTTTCAGTTTGAAAGTCATTGATAGTTGACAATTTACCGGTGACTGTATTGGCACAGTTTGTGAGTAATTGCCAATTAATTTTGTGAGTCACTGTATTTGAGGGATTTATGGAAAACTTTAAGCTTAGAAATATTTTAATAACTTGATTTTTGTTTTTTTTTTAAACTGAAAAATGAATAGAGACGAGATCTTGGCATTGCTCGGACTTAGTTCAAGCGGTCGGAAATCGGCTGCTTGCTCACTATGGTCTTTCGGCGAATAATGAGGAAAGAAATGCTAGCGAGGAAGATGAGGAGTCGTACACAACGGTGAATGGAAATGGATCGAATCAAGGTAGAAATTAATTAGTTCAGAACCCGCAAGCTCTAGGCTTGACTAGGTCATGGTTTACATTGAAGGACGTAGAAGGTAGCGTAACACAATTTTCTGATTCAAATTTCCCAGACATTAATCAGTGGATAGAAGAACTGGAGGAATGTGCATTCACAGTAGAGTGGAGTCAGTTACAGTTGTTCATTTATGCAAAGCAGTTACTTAGCGGTGCAGCAAAGTTGTTTATACGTAGCCAGCGCGATATTCGAGATTGGAGTTCTTTGAAATCCGCATTGTGCGATGAAGTTGGTGTAAGGGTATCATCAGCAGAAATACATCGCAAACTTAATAGACGTCATCAGAAGAAGTGCGAAACATTGCATGAGTATTTGTATTCTCTGATGGAAATAGCTAAGCCGATTGATTTGGAAATGAAAGCTTAATAGAATATTTTATAAATGGTATTCCAGACTCGAGAGCAAATAAAGCAATTTTGTATCAGGCTAGAAACATGAGGCAGTTGAAGATGCAGATCGAAACGTATCAGAAAATGCGAGGACCATTTAAGCAGTTAACCAATTATGGCTCGCAGGTCGACAGAAACGAGAAAGACTCAGGAAAAGGTTCAGAACCAGTTAAGAAATGTTTCAAGTGTGGAGATGAGTCGCATCTACGAAAAGATTGTCCAAGAAATGAGTTTAAATGTTTTCGGTGTAATCAACCGGGGCATAGAGCGGCCCAATGTAAAGTTCAAGTACAACCAAAGCAAGAAAAATTAACAAACCTTGTTCAGGATAAAGTAAAGCCAGTAAGCATATTTACCTCTTCCGGACTAGAATTGAAGTCTGTAGTGCACTCAATGGTTATTTTTAAAGGACTTGTAGATACAGGAGCAGATTTGTGTTTGTTGCGTCGTAACGTTTTTGTAAAATTAGGAGTCGATAACTTGAAAGGTCCCGAAAAATGTTTGACAGGAATTGGTGAGAGTCAGATAGTTACATTTGGTAGTTTGACAATCCCAGTGCAGATAGATGGCATCGAAATGAATGTTGAATTTCACGTCATTGCTGACGAAGACATGGCATTTGAGGCTATCTTAGGCAGAACAATACTGGAAAATATAAACATGAAAGTAACGAAAAATGTTTGTGCGCAGACCAGCAGGTAATGAAGAATGCAAAATATATGGTGAACATAATGCAAAAGGGTCATGTAGTGAACTGATGAAGGAATTTAAAAGCTTATGCATGTTTAGCTCAGAGCAAAGTGATGATAATATAGATGTTGTTTTATCAGATTTATCAGAGATGCAAAGAGCGACGTGAAGCGAATGATAAATGAGTATAATCCGAAGAGAAATATAAATTGTCCAGTAAAAATGAAAATATGTCTGACAGATGAGTTGCCAGTTTACCAACATGCCAGGCGTTTAGCGTTTAGTGAGCAGCAAATAGTCGATGACCAAATAGAAGAATGGCTCGCGGAGAAAATTATAAAGCCGAGTACTTCAGAATATGCTTCACCTATTGTACTGGTGGCAAAGAAAAAACGGAAAGAAACGGCTTTGCTGTGATTATCGTAAATTGAATGAAAATATAGTGCGCGATAACTTTCCAATGGTACAAATGGACAGCGTACAAGGGGCTCACATTTTTACTACGTTGGATTTGACTAATGGTTATTTCCACGTACCAGTTGAGACAGAGTCGCAAAAATATACATCCTTTGTAACACAGAAAGGGCAGTATGCATTTTTGTATGTACCGTTTGGCATTTCAAATTATGCGCGAATTAATTAATAATGGTGATGCAATCGTGTATATGGATGATATTATCATACCTAGTAAGGATGTTAATGAAGGGTTGCAGAAATTGCAAAAGTACTTGAAGTTGCGGCAAGGAATGGGTTGAGAATTAATTGGAGTAAATATCAGGTTTTGCAGAAGAAGGTTAACTTCTTAGGGTACATTATAGAAAACAGCACTATTAGGCCAAGTGAGGAGAAAACGAATGTGGTAGCAAATTTTACAATACCACACGATAAAAAAGATGTACAACGTTTTCTCGGAAGGACTCGAAATTTGAATTTAAGGAATTGCAGCTTGTAGCATTTGAACAGTTAAAGGTGGCGTTGACAAGTAAACCAGTATTGATGTTATATAACCCACAATTGGCAACAGAAATTCATACGGATGCATCTAAATTTGGGTTTGGGGCAGTTTTGTTGCAGAGGAACTCAGGAGATAATTTGTTTCATCCAGTTATGTACATGAGCCGTAAGACAAAGCCTTGTGAAGAAAAATAAAATTCATATGAACTCGAAGTTTTGGCAGTTATAGGAGCTTTAACAAAGTGGCGCGTGTATGTCTTGGGAACAAAATTCAAAATCGTAACTGATTGTAATGCGTTTGCCATGACAATGAAAAAGAAAGAGGTTCCGTTGAGAGAAGCGCGATGGGCTATGTTTTTACAAGATTTTGATTATGAAATAGAACACCGCTCAGGCACAAAAATGAGACATGTGGATGCATTAAGCCGAGTTTCATGTTTTGTTTTGACAGATAGTGTGATGCATCGGTTAAAGGAAGCACAACTGACAGACGATTGGACAAAAGTAGTAAGGGGACTAGTAGAAAGTAAAGGGTATGAGGTGGAGAAAGTAGGAGATGTAGAAGGTCTTCGTAAAACCTCTACCGTAGCAGAATACATGAAGGAATTCGGGACGAATCCCGCGTCAGGAGGGCCGAATGTAGGAATTGGGAAAGTTCCAGAAGAGCAAGCAACCGAACGTGCAATGCTAAAAGAGAGCGAGCAATTATTCAGTCGGTGCCAGAATCTCGTGAGCTACGCACGTATCAGTGAAGCCTAATTACATACATATATATACAGTTATTCATTAAAGTAAATATATATAATAATTACACAAACATACACACACACAAACAAACATTGTTATTACATCTAAATAAACCTATAATATTAAAAACTGTTAAACATAATAATACTACGTCGTCTCTTGGTTGTTTTCGACACTACGGAAATATTGGAGACCACATACATGCGCACAAAACTAGTATAGCCTTTCACCCTTTGGGTACAGGCTATAAAAATTACTTTTAAAAATGTTATATAATTTTCAGTTAATTAACATTTCTTGCTCTGTCAGTGCAAGACGAATGTACATACATACATATGTAGATACATATGTACACACATAGATGTGCACATATGTATGGACATTCACACATTAGTGTCTCACATTTTGCTTTGGCTATTTCAATCGTTTGCACGCAACTACATGAACAGCTGTTTGTATGTGTGTATGTATACTTAGTTGTCCCCAACTGTTTGATATTTTGTATTGTTTTTTCTGCATGCTTTTGTAAAATGCATATTTTGAAAATCCATGAATGCAAAGTTGTAGATTTAGTTACGTAGATTACATTATCCAAATTTTAAATCGATCGGACTAAATTTATAACAAAAACTTTTCATTTGAAATAGTGAATAAATATTAAAACCCAAATAATTCAAGCTCCAACACAAATCTAAGTATGCAGTTTTGTTTGAATTCTTTTATTGATTTCAGAAACCAAGTTTTATGTCGATCGGTTGAAAAATGCGGATTTTTCAAACAAACGTTGGAGCTCGAATTTTCCAAAATCCCTTCTTAGTGCGCATCTACACCATGATAGGATACTTGAGCCCAAATTTCAGCATCCTAGCTTTTACCGTGTGGGCTGTTGACGCGGTTTCCTTTTGTGCCCCAACATTTTTTTTACAGGACAACTCCCATATTTTGGGCCCCAAAAAAAATATCAAAAAACAATGTACACAGTGTTTCTTGGAATTGTTCTGAGAGTATACAAACTTGTTTGAAGTTGAAAGTTTGAAGTTAATCAGATGAAAACTGTAGACTTTTCATACAAACGTTGGAGCCTGTTTTCCCCCCTTTGGAGCTCGATGCACAGATGCCATATGTGAATACGCAGAAAATGTGTACTTTGGAATTTCCCTCCCGCCCCCCTCTCCAATGCAAATCGCGATTTTCTCTCACTCTCGTAATTCTTGGAATTTCGAACTTATGTTATGTGTCCGTATGTCAAGTTTCACTATGAAAGACCGATTTAACAAGAAGTTATAGCCATAAATATATTTGCTGCTGCAGCGCAGCTCTAGCGCTGCCCGCGGCTGTTGTTGATGTTGCTGTTTGGTTGACTGCACACATGTTTACGCATAGGCATACATACACTCACACAGACGCAATTGCTATGCAAATGTACAATTATACACCCTTTACGTTAGTTCGAATACGAAAAGAGGTAAAATCGATCAAAATTTTTTTTGTTAATTGGTTTTGTAAACATATGTACAGAGTATTTTAAAGTCGGGACCCGACTTTAGCTTTTTTACTTGTTTTATTTTCACTCAAGGGTACATTGGGGTACAAGGACACACTTGGGAATTCTGTTATAGTTTCTTCGATGACTTTGCTTTTACAAATCAACAATAGACAAATCATTCAGCTACTAATCATAAACCCATCGCCAAAGGGAACAACCCGTTTAATAAGTCTTGTACTAGAAATCTTAAGGTAAAAACAGGGGCTTGCTGCTGAAGAAGTAATTCAAAACGTGGTTGACAGTTTTCCAATTCAAGTTCTCGAAGACCGTTTTTTTGCGTTCGCTTTGGCGATCTCATTCCTTCTGGGGCAGCATTTGTTAAGCATATTTAAATTTTAAAAACAATAAATCGGTTCAATATGCCGGATCAATTCCAATAGTGATCTGAAAAAAACAGTTCGGGTATTAGGGGCAAAAGTTGAAAGTGGACTGTTTTACTATACATTTAACTAAGCCGGCACGATCCCGCACATCGGCCGCAATCTGAGCAGAAGTATTTTTTAGTCCAGCCTTATTCCGACGAGTTTTACGTTTTTTATTAATATATCCTAATTGGATATTCCTGTAGTTAGGATTGTTGTATGTGTATACTTTTCCTATAACTAGGGGGACATCACGGTTCCGCAATTGCATTTTTTAAGCAAATTTTTTATCTTTATTCCAGAATTTCTTGTGTATATTCATTTATAGGAAGTGTTTCGAAGTGTGACTTATCGAGAAATGAATTGTGATTCGATTGGAATGTTCATCATATACCCCCAAATAGGTGGGGACTTCCCCAAAGCACTGTTCAGCAATCATCACTTGAAAATTTTAAAAACATCGTGAATATATCAAAGGCCAAACTAACCCTTTTAAAAACGATAGCAAATTTGGGGTAAGAACAGCATGACCAACACTATGTATAAATGTATAAATAGAATCGGCCAAAATATCCAAGTTTTTGTTCCATTTTGAGGTCGTATTTTTGGTCTATTTACAAATATTGTAATCTAATCAAGAAGTCACTTTTTCCAAATGTGTCACTGACATCATGATTTACTCACATATCATTTAATATATGTGTTGATGTGGCAGCACTCTGCCAGTGTTGACAACGCAACGCTTGCCAGCAACATCTGCTGGCAGAGCGCTGCTAGCGTCGGCGGCCTCTCCCTCTTTCATATGCACAGCTAAGCCCCACTGCAATTAGGTTAAGTCAGGATTCGAATTGTCATACAAGTGAAGAGAATATACATACGTGCGAGTCACGTCATATTGAAAAGAAAATCAGACGCCATTTTGCTTCCCTTGCGGTTTTGGACATTCATCCCCAACGCCCCACGCCAACAATATGTATATGGGTGGTATGAGCGTATAACCACGCCCACTTTTTAAAAATAGTTTATTGTTTGAAGCCTACTGTTTAAAATATAGACCTTGCTATAACTAACACTATAGGACCTAGGGATATTAAATTTAAAGTCCAAGATGCCTTATGTGAATACGCAGAAAATGTGTTTTTTAGAATTTCCCTACCTCCCCCACCCCCCCCACTCCAATGCAAATCGCGATTTTCTCTAACTCCCGTAATTCTTGGAATTTCTAACTAAAATTTTGCAAATACCTCCAGTTAGTTATTATGTGTCCGTATGCCAAGTTTCATCATAATAGGTCTTTAACAAGAAGTTATAGCCATAAATATATTTGACTAGCAGGTATTGCCCGTCTTAACCCGGCTCAATATAATGTTTCCAATTGTATTTATTTTGTGTGTGCATAGCCTACCCATATGCTTTCACATTATAAGTTACAAGTAGGAAGGCATTTAAGGTATTTAAATGAACATTTTCTGTTCTTGACAAAAAATTATTCAGTAGTCCGTTACATTTTTGTTCTTACCAAACTATTTGGTTAATCGAACATGACCACTATAACTAATATTTTTTAAAGCTCGTTTTCCCCCCTTTGGAGCTAGAATTTTCCAAAAGCCTTTCTTAGTGTTCTCCTACACTATGATGGATACTTGAGTCCAAATTTCATCTTTTACCGTTTGGGCTGTGCCTTGATCACCAATTAGTCAGGACAAACTGTTTTTTATATAGAGATAACGCAACGTTTTAAGATAGACTATGTGCAAAAATGGGGAATAATTATAAGGGTATATCTTAATTCTAAATTCACCTTTGAGTCTTTCGTGTCATATTGAGTCAATACGGTCACGCACAAACTCGGAATATGAAACACGGCACTCATGTCAATGCCGTGCAGCGATGAGCCACGATCAAAAAGCACTGACAATTCTCATCTCAATTTGCTAGAGTAAAACTTTCGATAGTTGAAGCCACCGATACCATCAAAATATCGAAGTTTTTGCTTTACTATCGCTTACGCACTCGTTGCCTAGCGACGGTAACTGTAAATTTTTGGTGTTTTGCCTTTGCAATTAACATTAAATGGTCACAACGAAAGAAGAAGAGCGAGCCAATGACTTGCAGTTGTTGTTGTTTTTAGAGCATTATTTTTTTACAATCAAACAACTGTGTTCGATTGCCCAATGTATATATTAATGCGAATGTACATACATGCTATATTCATACAAAGGCATACATACATACATATGTATGTTTCTCTTTACTTTTTCAACCGTACGTAGAGAACCGCACACATAGACACGAACTGTTGCTTGTTGTGTGTGTGAGTGTGTGTATGTGATGTCCCCAACTATTTGATATTTGTTGTTGCTGCATAAAGTTATTAATGCCAAATGCACTAAACAAAGAAAAAATTACTTTTAAAAATGTTATATAATTTTCAATTAATTAACATTTCTTGCTCTGTCAGTGCAAGACGAATGTACATACATACATATGTGTGTACATATGTATGGACATTCACACATTAGTGTCTCACATTTTGCTTTGGCTATTTCAATCGTTTGCACGCAACTACACGAACAGCTGTTTGTATGTGTGTATGTATACTTAGTTGTCCCCAACTGTTTGATATTTTGTATTGTTTTTTCTGCATGCTTTTGTAAAATGCATATTTTGAAAATCCATGAATGCAAAGTTGTAGATTTAGTTACGTAGATTACATTACCCAAATTTTAAATCGATCGGACTAAATTTATAACACAAACTTTTCATTTGAAATAGTGAATAAATATTAAAACCCCAATAATTCAAGCTCCAACAAAAAATTTAAAAAACCGAGTATGCAGTTTTCTTTGTATTCTTTTATTGATTTCAGGAACAAAATTTTATGTCGATCGGCTAAAAAATGCGGATTTTTCAAACAAACGTTGGAGCTCGAATTTTCCAAAATCCCTTCTTAGTGCGCATCTACACCATGATAGGATACTTGAGCCCAAATTTCAGCTTCCTAGCCTTTACCGTTTGGGCTGTGCGTTGATCACCAACCAGTTAGTCAGTCAGTCAGTCATGACAAACTGTTTTATATATATAGATGCTGCAGCGCTGCCCGCGACTGTTGTGTCTATTCGTGTCTGTGTAAACATGTGTGCAGTCAACCAAACAGCAACATCAACAGCCGCGGGCAGCGCTTGAGCTGCGCTGTAACAGCAAATATATTTATCGCTATAACTTCTTGTTAAATCGGTTTATCATAGTGAAACTTGACATACGGACACATATTAACTAACTGAGGGCATTTGCAAAATATTAGTTCGAAATTTCAAGAACTACGAGTGAGAGAAAATTGCGATTTGCATTGGAGAGGGGGGCGGGAGGGAAATTCCAAAGTACACATTTTCTGCGTATTCACATATGGCATCTGGGACATCACTGTTCCGCAATTGCATTTTTTAAGCAAATTTTTTATCTTTATTCCAGAATTTCTTGTGTATATTCATTTCTAGGAAGTGTGACTTATCGAGAAATGAATTGTGATTCGATTGGAATGTTCATCATATACCCCCAAATAGGTGGGGATTTCTCCAAAGCACTTTACAGCAATCTACGATCACTTTAAAATTTTAAAAACATCGTGAATATATCAAAAGCCAAACTAACCCTTTTAAAAACGATAGAAAATTTGGGGTAAGAACAGCATGACCAACACTATGTATAAATGTATAAATAGAATAAATAGAATCGGCCAAAATTTCCAAGTTTTTGTTCCATTTTGAGGTCGTATTTTTGGTCTATTTACAAATATTGTAATCTAATCAAGAAGTCACTTTTTCCAAATGCGTCACTGACATCATGATTTACTCACATATCATTTAATATATGTATATGGGTGGTATGAGCGTATAACCACGCCCACTTTTTAAAAATAGTTTATTGTTTGAAGCCTACTGTTTAAAATATAGACCTTGCTATAACTAACACTATAGGACCTAGGGATATTAAATTTAAAGTCCAAGATGCCTTATGTGAATACGCAGAAAATGTGTTTTTTAGAATTTCCCTACCTCCCCCACCCCCCCCACTCCAATGCAAATCGCGATTTTCTCTAACTCCCGTAATTCTTGGAATTTCTAACTAAAATTTTGCAAATACCTCCAGTTAGTTATTTTGTGTCCGTATGCCAAGTTTCATCATAATAGGTCTTTAACAAGAAGTTATAGCCATAAATATATTTGACTAGCAGGTATTGCCCGTCTTAACCCGGCTCAATATAATGTTTCCAATTGTATTTATTTTGTGTGTGCATAGCCTACCCATATGCTTTCACATTATAAGTTACAAGTAGGAAGGCATTTAAGGTATTTAAATGAACATTTTCTGTTCTTGACAAAAAATTATTCAGTAGCCCGTTACATTTTTGTTCTTACCAAACTATTTGGTTAAACGAACATGACCACTATAACTAATATTTTTTAAAGCTCGTTTTCCCCCCTTTGGAGCTAGAATTTTCCAAAAGCCTTTCTTAGTGTTCTCCTACACTATGATGGATACTTGAGTCCAAATTTCATCTTTTACCGTTTGGGCTGTGCGTTGATCACCAATTAGTCAGGACAAACTGTTTTTTATATAGAGATAACGCAACGTTTTAAGATAGACTATGTGCAAAAATGGGGAATAATTATAAGGGTATATCTTAATTCTAAATTCACCTTTGAGTCTTTCGTGTCATATTGAGTCAATACGGTCACGCACAAACGCGGAATATGAAACACGGCAGTCGTGTCAATGCCGTGCAGCGATGAGCCATGATGAAAAAGCACTGACAATTCTCATCTCAATTTGCTAGAGTAAAACTTTCGATAGTTGAAGCCACCGATACCATCAAAATATCGAAGTTTGAATGCAATAAGCAGAATATTTAAGTAATAAAATCTAATTATTTATTGAGATCAATAAGAACAAATCATATACATACATACATCTGCCCGCAATGCGAAGCTTTACTATCGGTTTTTGCTTTACTATCGCTTACGCACTCGTTGCCTAGCGACGGTAACTGTAAATTTTTGGTGTTTTGCCTTTGCAATTAACATTAAATGGTCACAACGAAAGAAGAAGAGCGAGCCAATGACTTGCAGTTGTTGTTGTTTTTAGAGCATTATTTTTTTACAATCAAACAACTGTGTTCGATTGCCCAATGTATACATTAATGCGAATGTACATACATGCTATATTCATACAAAGGCATACATACATACATATGTATGTTTCTCTTTACTTTTTCAACCGTACGTAGAGAACCGCACACATAGACACGAACTGTTGCTTGTTGTGTGTGTGAGTGTGTGTATGTGATGTCCCCAACTATTTGATATTTGTTGTTGCTGCATAAAGTTATTA